TTTAATTATTATTGAAGAGGCCGACTAAGCTTCTTATACAAGATATTTTATGATAGATGTAATGTTGGTTCTTGGTCTTCTTTTCAAGTGCACAGAGCTCTTTCCTGAAACTTTTACACAAATTCTTCCTTGCACTCTAGATGCAACGTAAATCTGATCTAATTGCTAGGGCTCAGTATTGCCTTTCATAAGTTAAGCAGAAGAAATGTGCTTAGCAACTTGGAGGTACTTGCGATTGAGGAAACAACAATGACATCGTAAATAGATCCGTAACGCATATTATATTAATTATAGAAAGTTGTTGCTTTTGAATGTGATTTTGAATATGATTTTTTTGAGGTTGATTTTTGACGTTGCAACAAACGATCGACGTGTCGGTATTCTTCTATAATAATAAATGATATTTTAGATTTGAAATAATCATTGGAAACGGCTAGCAAGGAAAACTCTATTGAAAATGGATTATATTCAACCATTTCTACGACCGGGTTGCAATCTTCAAGACTTTTCCCCGACTCTGCTTTATACCAAGTGTCTAAATATGAAATCGGAATTGCTCCTTAATTGGCCGTAGCTATCAACGTAGTTACTCTCACGCTGTGTCATTGGCACTATGTTCTTGTTGACATCCCACGACGTTTTTGCAATTTACAACAGCAAAGGTTACATACAGCAGCTTAATTTATAAAAGCTTTGATCGTCTCCAGTTTTATGCCAAAAGAGAGAGGTTTCACCAAAAGCAGTTTTTTTCTTCGCCCAAGAAAACTTTTTTTGCATTTTAACATTATAGGGGATAAAAGTGGATCTAGTTTGAGAAAATTTATGGGCAGATCCAGGCGTACAATCCATATCGGCCGCAAGACCGAATCAATAGAGCAAGAAGACAATGCCCTGTGACTGGCGGAACCAAAAGGCTGTCGTCTGTTAAAGTCGCGTGCGATGGTTAATACCAAACGCTAGTATTGAAGAAACCAAAGCAAGGGCTTTTGTTCATATCATTCGTCCCTCCATTTATATGCGCATAATTTATTCGCTTGAAGTTGGGGGCACGCAACTGAAAAGTCCTTGAAATTTACGTGTTAGAGTCTAGTGCTTCCAAACAGTTCTTGTTTGCATCAATGAGTGACGCGTTTGTTAAGAAAGGCTTTACTTGGTGCGAAGGTGGTTGTGGCAAAAGTGCCAAAGTTACCATATGACGTCCATAAATTGTCAAATTGGCAGGAGAATGGGAAAAACTTTTAATTCCAATTCGTTATTCGTTTTTTCTGATCTTATGGCCGACTTACGAAAAAAAAACATAATGTGAAATATTTCTTATTGCACATATTCATGTGTGATGTGTTAAAAAACATTGAATAGTGAAGCATTTTATCATTTCACCACATTTTCAGTCTTTTCATTATCATCTTTGCCATCACTTATGTTTGTCTTCAAATCAGTTTGTACCGAAATATGTGAACGGCTGATCAGTGAAGATCGACTGACGATAAAATTTAAATCGTCCAATACCACGCGAGCTTAGCCAACCTTCTGTAATGATAACTTATTAATATGGGAAATGTAGCTATTACTCCTGAGAGCCGTAATTATTATAAGCCCACAAGTCGTTTCTAACACAAGCAAAGCAAAATGGCGGCGCACTATTCCAAGAGATAGAATCCTTTACCTATTAAATGTGTGGGGCCGTAACCATGCAATTTGCAATTTTCTACAAACATATTAACAAATAAACCAGAAAAAATGTTGAAATGTCATTCAGAAAATCGCTTTCGTTCGAAAGATGTTTCGAAAATTATGCGTAAATTCGTCAATTGTTATAAGGCCGTAGTTGGAATTCAAAGCCAATTGCTTGCGAGTTGAATCTACTCCGGAGTTGGCCAACTTAAAAAATCTATTTTCGACCAAAAACGCTAACCAAACTTTAAGTTGAGGAGATTTAAGGTAATATTCAATTAGCGCACAATCCGTAAATGACTACAGAATACAACCGAATTGTAAAAGCTGTACTTGTACACCCATATATTAGTTGTATTGTAAAGCTATGAATTATCGTAAGTTGATAATTTGATACATTCTTTTATTCACTTTTTGAACCACATGAAAAATTCTTCCCTCCTCCTATCAAGCCTTTTCGATATCAATGCATTTTAATTAATTTGTTTTTGCCAATCAAATTTCATAGTGTTAATGAACCTTTCCGCCACCAACATAGTTTTGCCATCGCATCTAGAATAGCTTTTTTAGAGAGTGGCAGATAGAAATTCAAGTCCAATACAGCATTTTAATGTGCAGCGGGTAACGGGTTCGGTCAGCAGTAAGTCACCAAGGCAGGTCATGAAAAGTCTAAGTCTGCTTAATAACCTAAGAAACCGCGCGACGCGGCCTGATGAAGTTGACTATATAAAAGATACAGAAGAGTTTTGATCAAATGAATACAGTTGTCTCTCTCTTTCTTTCTCTCTCTTTTTCCCTTGACGATTATGAGTCAGAATCCCTAAGCAACATGCTTAATATCTCTAGTCGCTTCTATTGAAAGACATTAAAAAATTCTCTCGTGGTTTACGCGTATTTTAATATCATTGTAAATAATCAAACTTTATGCTTTAACAAATTTTCAGCCATTTTCTGGAATTGTCCAGAGTGTTTGTAAGCGGTTTTCGTTTACTTTTTGATTTCTTAAAAACTTCGGCTCGATGGGGCGTAATGTATTAGACTGCTCGGAAAGTCATTTCGTTTTCCCCCAACAGTGAATTGAACTGCATTTTTCGCAGCTAGATTGACACTTGAGCCGCACTCTCATTGCGCATGTTGACAGCTAATATAGTAACGCTTGTTTTTGAAAAATGTGCTTTTATTGCTGCCTCATCCGCTATAGAAGGTCGAAGGTATTAAAATTCGGCAATTTTTCAGTTTTTTTTTTTTACTATCGGTAAAGTAAAAATGGTATTCAAGCGAGAAAAAGATTATTGAATGTGTGTGAAAAACATGTACCGGCAGATGATCAATTCCAAAACTGGTTTTCGAAAATATGAAAACAGAATTAAGGGATAAATTAATGCAAGCCGATGAATAATAGTTCGCAAGCTCGCTAAGATATTGCTTACATTTATCGAATTCGACCGGTCATAATAATACATTTATCAGTTATAAGAAAATCGTCTCTCAATTTGACCGAAAAAAACGAGGTAGCTATCTGGCTAAGCCAATAATAGAGTACAGATGTAATTTACTTAAAACTTAAAAGTAAGGTCGATAAATTCAAATGAAAAATTAAGTGATGAAGCCTGATGTTTGGACCATCACGTAACAATTACTTACTTCTTAGCTGAATTTAACAATAATGATAATCGTAGAAATTGAAAGTAACAGTATCATCGAGTACCGTCAAAACTTAAAAATCAAATGCAGACATGATTACCAGTTTCGATGGTAAAGGTAGGCGTAAAAGATTCTTTCTTGTTTTTGTTGCTAAGCTAAGAAGGATGGATGGCTTTGAGCTTTGAGTGTATGAATACAAAATCCTAGTTCCATTAACTCAAATAAGAGCGAGCAATTAAAGTCACGCCGAAATGTTTTCCAGATATCAGAGTTGCCACTTAATCGATTTACAGTTGCAATTCCATTTGTTAGGAGCATAAAGATTATATAGCTAATAGAGATCAGTGAAGATTGCAACCTGATTCATGCGTGAAATGGTTGGATGTCCAGCGTGCCTTTACGTAGAATTAATGCTTATATCTGCATTTCCATAAAATGCAATTTAGCACATATAGACTTAAAATAATTGTGGGCTTCAGGACTTTCTGCGCTTAAAGCTTGTTTCTTGTAGAAAATGCTTTCAAATATTTGTACATATATTTGTTATAGGTTGTGAGTAATGAGTAAAGAACAAATTTTGGATTCCTTTTAAAGAACAGAGGCGTTCTCAATTTATGTGCTGTTGTGGGCGTGTACTTCAACCTACGTACAAGAACTCCCAATGATTCTGCCAAAGTCGAAAGCGATAGCTTCTAGTTTGCGGCAAGAGACTATTTACAACACCCATTACATAGAGGGACATACGGAGATGCCTATGTGATGCTGCTAATATATATATATAGATATATATATATTTATATATATATATATTTATATATATATATATATACTTTGTGGGATCTCTGATGCTTCCTCCTGGGTGTCATCCTTCGGTAGTGGATATAAAAATTCATAAATTTCGGAAAAACCTTTAGTACGGAAATAAGAAGTTAAACGTATAATCACTCTTTTAATTTGAAAAAATTCTGCGCTTCGTACATACGTACGAACATTGAGATGCAGAAAACCACACCACACGTTTTGCTCCACTATGGTAAGCTTGCTTGATGATAATTTGTAAACAAACTGTTGCTTATACCACAGAGAAGCCACGTGCTTAACTATTTACAAAAAGCAAAAAAACACGAAAAGAACAAAAAAAAAAAACAAAACAAAAAAATGGAAAAGAAAAGGAAAACCAAGCAAAAAAAAAAGGCAAAACTAAAAGACTACGTATGCATAGAATTCGAAGAGAATAAATAACTCAATGTGCTTATATGGAGAGCAAACTGGACTTTGAGAGTTAGGGAAAAAAGCTTTCGCATTCTCCGGCTGCAACGTCTGCAAATACTGTGCGAAATATTTCATCGAATCGTACATACATTCACATTCCGGCACAAATTTCTGTAGACTCGGTTAGTAAATCGTATTTGTGGTAAATTTGGAAAAACTGATGAATATTTGGCAAATATAATTTGAACTTTAGTATTTGACAAAACGTGTACGTATACGGTTGTTGTGCTCAGTCCGGCAGTTGTTACACGTGATAAATGAATTGATGATGTTGGACATCAATTGAAATCGTTGAGTGGGCTTCTTAATAACAAAACAAAAAAAAACAAAGAAAAATAAAAAAAAAACACAAAAAAAAAACACAAAAAGCAGAAAACAAATGAAAAAGAAAGGAAAGAAAAAAACTAAATATGAACGTTTCGTTTCTTATAATTAAATAAAAAAATTTTAATAAAATTTATTTATGGAAAATATAATATGTTGAAACTATATGACGATCGGTACGAATGTGTTTAGCATTTTGTTAAAAACGGCAACAAATTCATAAAAATATTTGCTGTTATATTTAGTTTTATTACAAATCTATTAATACTCTTATCGTATTTTTTATATTTTTATATTTTAATAATAATTTTTTTTTTTTTTTTTTTTGGAGTTATCTTACTTACTTAAACGATTCATATAGCATGCAACGTTTAAACTGCGCCAAAATTCGTATTGTTACTCTCAGCCCAGCAATTATATCACGTAAATGTAGACATATGCGCATTACGCGTATTTATATTAACTAATTTCCCATTGATCATAACCCCGTAAAATGAATTGATTGGAAAATCATTTCATTTCGCATTGCACGAATATGTGTATGTGAAAGGGCATTTCGTTCGGTTTAATTAGACTCTGAAAACTGTGAAGGAGTATGACGAAGGCCTTGTCTAATTAATTACAACAATAAATATATAAAGTGTGTGTGACATGGTTAATGAGAACACCGACAACACATCATCTTCAAATAATTGTTTCAATTTTCAATTTTCTTCATCAAATCAAAATTTTCGATCACTTTCAAATTCTTTAAACACTCCGAATGCGATTAATGCGGTCAATACAACTAAACAATTGGATTTGTTAGTTGCCACTAATGAGACTTTAAATAAAAAGAAATGTGATTTGTTGTCCGTTAGCGCTGATAACTTAAGTTGGAAATTTTTCGAGCAGATTGATTCATTAGATACTCGATTGAGGAAGGAAGAGGTAAGTCTTGACTTGTAAAAAATAGTTAAATGTACAAATATATTATTTAGTTATTTAATGAGGAAATTTTCTTGTTAACACGATTATATTTATAATCGGTTTATCGAAATCATTCTAAAATTAATCTTATCTTCTTTACACCAATCGTTAGTAATCCGCAGTGGTGGATGTATTTGACGCTTTAAAAATTCCACATATAAATTGTATAACACATCTGCCAGAATGGATTTGGTTTCAATTTTTTTTTTTTTTTTTTTGCATCCTTGCAAGAATACATTTAAGAATCAGCTAACTCGATTGGTTCGATTCAGTTCATGCACATTAAAAACGTCAATCACTTACAATCACTTCTCATGTTTCGCTTAGAAATTTCTCTCTACAAAATAGACGACACGCGACCGAAAACAAGTTATTTCTGTTTTAAATAAGGATCAATTTTTATATAGTTATTACACAAGACTCCCTTATGTTATTCATACGAACCTTTAGGAAAATAGATTTAAAATCAATTCTCTTGATGTATCGATGGTTGGATATTTCATCGGCTCTAGATGAGATTTAGTTGTAAACGATTCCAGTTTACTTGGTGCCTGTCTCAACAAGACGCTGAGATATTCTCAGAAAATATTTGAAATATTCATTTATTCCTCGAGAATAATAATTTTTCACTTGTGTTTTTTTCCTAAAGAAAATTTTGGAAAAAAACTTGAAATTCATTCAAAATTTTTGCTAAATTAAGTTTTCTGATTGTAATTTTCTGGCAGGAAAGACGGAAGAATAAACACGATTTATTTAAATGAATTTCGCTTAACACGCTGTTCCGATGCATGTCCCTATGCCTTAGAAGTCAAGTTTGTCTAGTGCGTCAGACCTGTTAGTATGAGTACACATTTTGTATAACGCAGTAAGTGCTTTCTTTGGATTTTTATTTAGTATTCATTACCTAAGAAGAGTGAGTTATCGTTATGAAGTATCGTGATGTACTTCTTTTTGGAAATGCACGATTTTCACATCGATTTTAAATCAAATATTTTTCATTTTTATTCTATTGCATAAAAAATAATTATTATTATGAGTCGCTTACGCTATTGATATTTGAGAATATTTTACAAATAGTCTTGAATATCGTAAATTACGGTTTTTTTTTTTTTTTTTTTTGAAAATGTGCCTTCTTCATTTCATTCAACATTCCACGCTTTTTACACTTACTCATACTGTGTGAAAAGTTACTTTTCTTTCTAGTGTAAGGATCCAAATTTGGGGATGCACTTGTTCAGTCTTCGTATAAGCATAATGAGGACTGTATTAGATCAAGTAAAAGTTTATGATTCTATAAAATATTCATTCGTACATTAATTCATTCATTCATATATTCTTAATCCAAATGAATATAGGATATGTATAAAAAAACTCATTAAAATCATAATTAATATCTCAAAATCTCGTAATTACCAAATTTATATCAATGAGATCAATTTGACGCAGTAAACTATCAAATGATTTCAAATATTATTTGAACTCATTTAGCTTTATTCCAAGTATTAATCAAATAATATATACAGAACTTACTATATGCACAAATAGTTTATTACAATAATTAATAAAAAAAAAATCTATTTAAACCTAAGATAAGTTCTCCCTGTGTTGTTTAGTAAACTCGTCATGATCGAGGCAATTTTCAAATTTTAACTTTTGCTAAATGTTTACCCAGAGCTTATTTCGTAAGCAGCAAAAGCATATCAGATATATGCAATCCTGTCATTTGTTAACTATTCTGTTACTTTTTTGAACTAATTTAAGTACGAAGATTAAGAAGAAGTTAAGAATAACTAAACATTTTCGTTTAGTGGTAAACAATTGAAAATGAAATAAAAATTAAATACGGTTAAGAAGCATAGGTTATTGTAATCAAAGAATGGTAAGACTTGGCTAACTAACTATGATGCAGCATAAATTCGTTCCGGCGGCCTAAACTGTTAAGAGCAAATATTTTTTATGTCTTATATGTCACTTGCGCGAACCTATTCGTCAGAATTACGGCCAGACAACCCATCAAGACAATGCGTGTTCTCCTAGTGCTTTAATACTTTGAGATTTTCTCTGTAGAAATTGAATTTAACCTCTCTAGTAGCCTGACTCAGCTCTCCTTTTACTTCCGTCCATCTACGAAACTCAAAGGCCTCCTATTGGCAAATCCTTTTGAATAGATAAAAACAAAATAAAATAAATTTTTTTTTTTTCGATAAAAGTAAAGAATTGTAATTATTAACCACTGAGATAAATGTGAGACAGATATCCCTTAGAGAGCTGGCAACCCAAGAGCAAAAAAAAAGAAGGGCTTGCTCTCTAACCACATCATAATTTGTCTGTTCCCTTTAGAGCTTCCAAAATAAATTGACATTTTCACTTATCAAATACAGTTTTTCTTTAATATTTTATAACATCCTTAGTTTCCGAAGGCTCATCTTATTTTCGTTGAGATGCTTGCTATTTCGCTTATTTATAATTAAGAATTTTAAAATGTCAACTCACTTTGGGCCACAGACTCGGTAGGTATGCAAAAGCTTAGAACAACCAACATGTCACCATTTCTTCCAAATGTCAAGCTGTACACTAATTCCAGCTTTGAAGCTGGCAAAGACTCTTTCCGCATATCCGCAGTCATTTCCTTTGCTGGGCAATATGTCCTAAGCTCTTATTAACTTCGTCTAAGATTCCTCGCTGCAAGTTCCAACTTCTTCCATTCTATCTTTAAAGGAATATACAAACGGATGATTAGAAGGGAGAAGCAAATTAAAGTTTTTTCCAAAGTTTTCCATGGCCGTAGAAATACCGATTCCAAGACGTGAAAGCAATTGTATGCTGCATCGCAATAGGATGGCATCGCCAGTTATAGGTGTAAAGAAGAATATTTTTCTTTAAAACTGACATTTTAAACGCGTTTACTTAGAGTTTACCAAGTTTTACGAGCTTACCGTGTACCCGGCGCCCTTCAATTGACCCATCATTATACTAAAATTCGACCAACAAAACAAGGAATTTTTCAACTTTTGTAATCAATTTTTGAGCGATTTATTCTGAAACAGAAAGAACGGTCACGATAGTTTTTTAAGCAATATTTCAATGACCGCTTATTAAAAATCTAATAATAATTTCCGAAAAATCTTATTTTGATGATTTCAGAGTATAGCGGTCTTTGTTTTTATTAAGTTGTTTGGAAGAAAATTTGCCGATCTGCAGCTATATGGCGAATCATGTCAAAGGGGAAAAGCATTGTTTTCCGAGAGCTGCTTGTTACGCCTTCATTTCTATTTTGAAAACTTCGAGAAAGAATTCTTTAGATAACTCTTAAGCCGCATATCAATGAATCTTTTCATTTTCTCAAAATAAGTGCGGAAAAGGAGAGGGCTCTGTGTTTCTCAATCTTAATTTTATGAAAATCTTTAGATAATTTTAAATTTTATTCTTAGAAGAAGAACTTAAGAATTTCCTTAAATCAATACTTCTTAACTTCAATAGATTTTACTCTTCAGACTGCTTTATTGATACAGTTTGTTTGTGTATCGACCTTTTGCGGCACCTTTTTAACTTTTTGTTGACCTTTAGTTTTTAACTTTTTAACGTAGTCCGAAATTTGTCGATTGAAAAAAACGTCGAACATATCTTTGCTTTTTTTTACTTTCCTCCGGCTGGATTAAAAATTTGTTTCTACAAATAAGCTATCATTTTCTTTTTATTTTTATTTTTTTTTTTTTATTGTCAAGCAATTTTAAAAACACTTCTCTTCAGCGGACATTTTTCAGAAATTTTCTTTCAGATAGCAACCTTCTCTTATAATTACATATTTCTTTTTTATTTTTATTACACATTTAAGTTACAATCTATTTAAGAAGATTATAAGTAAATATTATCGCAAGACATGATGTTTAAATGTTATTATATCCGCCTGAGTGGCTGAAGGCGAGAAATCTCGACCAGCAACTCAACGGTCGTGGGTTCGAATCTCAAGTGCGGTAGAGTATTCAATAAAAGCCGATACCCTTAGATGCTAGTGCCTTAAGAGTTTTGTCTTAGAATTTATTTCTCTGGTGAAATTAATAATAAAAAATTAATTTAGTCAGAGAAATAGATACAAGATAAGAATAAAGGCTTAAAGCTCTAGCACCTAAGACTATCTATCGGCTTTATTGAAAATTCTATCGCATGTGAGATTTGAATCCACGACAACCATTGAAGTGTTAGTGGATATCCTTTACCTACTCTTAGAAAATTCTCTGTAAAATAATTTAAAGAACAAAAGTACATGGATTTCTAAATGGAAGACTCATGTGTATGATGTCTCATCAAGCTCCTTATTTCATTGAATCAATTTAGAAGAGATATTTACACGATTACTCAGTACTATACTCAGTATTTTAAAGAAAGCCAATGAATTGTATTTTCAATAATTGGAAAATCTACGCGAGCATGAATAGTTTTGTTGCCAACGAAGCGCGAGACATTAGTGATAAGGAGAAGAGTCTTAAGTTAATATTATTAGAATATTTCAAAATTAGAACTACTGGCTATTCCCCGCAGTTCTATGTAATAAGTCCAAATAGGTTGGAAACTAATCTACTATAAAATGTACTTATTGCTTAGATAAAGTTGAGAGCCTGGACCATAAAAAGCCATAAAAAGTTCTCGGGTTTGAAACCCAAATTCCTCAAGTTTAGCCTTTTTATGATTTTTACATATTAGTTCGCGGTCAATACGTAAGCCACAATATTTTACATTGCCAAGAATAATAAGCTTTTGCTCTAGAGCTGTATAGATATGCTTTAACTAATGGTTTAGAAAATGCTAGCATTGGCTTAGCCACCATAACTATCTTTGCACACTTTCTATTCATCAAATGTTTAAAAATTTTCTACGAAAATTTTCGAAATAAAAATCTGAACTTATTTTCAAGAAAATTCTTGATGTTGAAAGCAGCAAAGCATAAAATTATCGACTGCATT